GCGTATGCGGCTTTACAGGGTTTATGGGATTTACGGGGCTTATGGGGTTTATAAGGTTGGCTCAGGGTTTAGGGTTTAGGGTTTAGGGTTTAAGGTTTAGGGTTTAGGGTTTAGGATTTAGGGTTTAGGGTTTAGGGTTGATGGCCAGTGGTGTTGAAGGTTGAAAGATCGAGGCAGTCCTACCTTCGGCTGGTCAGGGCGCCCAAATTGGCCTTCAGACCTAACCGTGAACCCTAAACCCTAAACCCTAAACCCTAAACCCTAAACCCTAAACCCTAAACCCTAAACCCTAAGCCCTAAGCCCTAAGCCCTAAACCCAACATCCCTAAACCCTAAACGCCAAAAATGTGAAAGACAACCGTAAACCCCCTGTCTCCTCAAGGCGATAGATCCAGGGGCAGAAGCCGAAGCGCACGAAGTCGCCCAGGGCGAGCCTGGCTAGTGGTTTGGGGTTTGGGGTTTGGGGTTTAGGGTTTAGGGTTTAGGGTTTAGGGTTTAGGGTTTAGGGATTAGGGATTGGGGTTTAGGGTTTAGGGTTCAGGGTTTAGGGCTTACAGGGTTTATGCATAAGCTAGGTCTGTATTGTTTATGGGGTTTATAGCGTTTGTGGGGCCTTTCGGGTGCGTACGGCGTGTAGGCCTGATAGGGCTTCTAGAGTTTAAAGGGTTTAATAGGGGTTGCAGGGCTTATAGGGTTTACAGGGTGTACAGGGTCTAAAGGTTTATAGGGTTCAGCGGGCCTTTCGGACAAAAGAACGAGCCTTGTCTTGTCTAGGGGTTCTACCTTGGACCCTTAAGGTTGTACCCTTGGGTTTTGGGGCCCCTTTCTAAGGATCCTTAAGGGAATATGAGGGCCATATTAGGAGTATATTAGGGGGAACCTTTAGGGGTACAACCTTAAGGGTACGAGTCTGAATCCCTTGATTGTCTTGAAGAAGCAAAAGTCCTACCTAACGGGACAGGTTCGGAGGCTTCGGGTTTGAGAGCTTTAGGGTTGACAGTTTTAGGGTTAGGGTTCAGGGCTTAGGGCCCTACACCCTAAACCCTAAACCCTAAACCCTAAACCCTAAACCCTAAACCCTAAACCCTAAACCCTAAACCCTAAACCCTGAACCCTAAACCCAAAACTGTTCAGGTGGATTTGTTTCTTGGCCTCGGGAGTCTTTGGCAAAAGGGCTTGTGGGTGGTTACATGATCCCTTCATATGGGTCCCTTAAAAAAGGGGAACCCCTGAAGAGGGTTCAGGGTTTAGGGTTTAGGGTTTAGGGTTTCGGGTTTAGGGTTTAGGGCTACTAGACCCAAGAGTAACCTAGGAATAGAAAGGGTACCCTTTTTTGGTTTAAAGGGCCTTATAAGGGAGCCTAAACCCAGAACAAGGGGAATAAGGGCGTACTCTGTGTCCTAGCATATACCCCTTATTATACCCGCTGCCAAGGGCCCATACTGCAGAACCCGCCAAGGGAGGTAAGGGACCATATTACGGGCCCATGGAACTACCCAAAAACTCAATGCCAATATGGAACCCTAAACCCTAAACCCGAAACCCTAAACCCTAGAGGTTCCGCCGGCCTAAGGGAGGCTTTGGCTTTCGGGTTGAGAGCTTTGAGGGACAAGGATGTTTCATGGTTTTAGGGGTTTAGGGCCGGGGGATTTTTTAGGGATCTTCGGGTAGTTACATGATCCCTTAAAATGGGTCCTTAAAAGGGGGCCCCTTATATGCCCTTTATTAGGCTCAGGGCTTAGGGGTTTGAGGCTTCGGGCTTTCGAGGGTTCTAGGCTTCAGGGCTCGGGGGTTTTGAGGCTGCGGACCGCGACCCCACAACCCTATCATCCCACAGGAACCCACGGCCTTTTAGGGTTTAGGGTTTAAGGTTTAGGGCTTAGGGCTTAGGGTTTAGGGTGTTTGGATATACCCCTCGCTCAAGAACTATGAGTTTAGTCGGATACTGCCAAGGACTCAGGGGGTTTGAGGCTTGGGAATTGGGACCCACGACCTTCACGCCTAAAGCCTAAACCCTAAACCCTAAACCCTAAACCCTATGGCCCTAAACCATGAGCCCTACTACGCAACCCCAAGCCCCAAATCGCTTAGAGAGCCTCGTGCCCTCGAGCGGGACACGGTCCAATGGCGGCTCGCGCCCCTCCGCATAGGTACCTTCCGGGGACCCATCTGTGTGTGTGGACTGGCTTTGAGGTTTGGGGGTTTAGCCGGGGTTTAAGGCTTTGGGGCTTAGGGCAGGCCTGTCCATGGAGGATCTCAGCTACGGGCGCCCTAAGTAGAGATACTAGCCCTAAACCCTAAACCCGAAACCCTAAACCCTAAACCCTAAACCCGAAACCCTAACCCTAAACCCGAAACCCTAAACCCTAAACCCTAAACCCGAAACCCTAAACCCCAAGCCCCTCTCTAAGTCCCCGGATTTGAGGCCTCGACCCCCAGGCTTTGTGAATAGTAATCTTGAGTAGGGTTTAGGGTTTAGGGTTTAGGGTTTAGGGTTTAGGGTTTAGGGTTTAGGGTTTAGGGTTTTGGGTTTTGGGTTTAGGGTTTAGGGTTTGGGGTTGAGGGTTGAGGGTTGAGGGTTGAGGGTTGAGGGTTGAGGGTTGAGGGTTTAGGGTTTAGGGTATAGGGTGGCACCCTAAGCCCGAGAAACCCAAGACCACAAGAACCCCAAAGCCCTCACCTCTTTCGCTCTTGCATGCTCGAGGTCGGGGACTATGCCGTACCTTAAGGCACGAAACCTCGTAGGCTGCAGGTTGCCTAAGAATGCTTGGATCTCGGCTCTAGGGAGTTTAGAGTTTAGGGTTTAGGGTTTAGGGTTTAGGGTTTAGGGTTT